TAGGCTTCAAAAATGTAAGTGATTTTTTTTTGGCTTCAGATAAGAATCCCAACTTAACACACTTCCATAAATCATTGGTGTGGAAATCTGTCAGAAAATAGCATAAGAGTACTACTTTTTCCTTGTGGTATCTGTTGTTTCCAAATTAGATTATTTGTTGAATGTTCAAGGGAGCATATTTGCTTGAAGAGTTCACCATATGTCAGACAAGTCTCATGCTCTTGAAATGGAGTTCACAGAAATGAAATCAAGGGTAACCGCCTGTTCCTTCCTCTACCATGGTAGTAAGAATCAAAGGATTCTGCAGAAATGTGTAGCAGAGCTACTACTAGCTGAATCACTGAGTAATATCATGAACACTGAAAAGTGGCAAAATGGAGACTACCCAAGATCTTAAATCCAGAATGTGTTTCATAATTGTTGTTCACATTTTATCCTTGATAATAGTATTATACTAACAGGTAATAGAGTGTAGTTATTCAGAGAAAAGACCCTAGAGTTGATTTTGACTTCAGCTCTTCTACTTGTTAGCTATACAACCTGGTGTCACTATTAACTCTAAGCCTCAGCCTATAAGGTGGATAACATACTCAGTCCATAGAGTTCCTGGGAAAATTAAATGAAATAATACAGGGTTTGGCAAAAGTAGGTTTACAGTTGTGAGCAGACAAAACAGAGTTTAATCTTGTATTATTATTTGTTAATTATTATATTATTTTCCATATGAACAACTGTAAACCTACTTTTGCCAAACCTTGTATATATTAATTACTTGGCAAATAGTAAATGCTCAGTTGATATTAATTATTATTTGGATCAAGTAACTATAATACATACATATATATGTTCATAGACGTAATGGAAATTTCCAAGCAATTTGAAAAATTTTATTTGTTGTTATTATTACTATTGTCACTTTTTAATTTAATTAGAACAGTATCTTTCTTCAAAGAAGAAAGGTGATAGTCCACCTAGCAGGAAAATATGATTTAATTATAACTATTTTCTATCAACTTGTAACTGAAATTTCCCAGAGAATTTCAGGGTGAGGACTTCTGTAAACCTCCAAAATCTTCACTTTATAGTGTACTTAACTCTACCACTTATTTTCCTAAATTGTGTCTAGATCCCCTGGGTCAATAGAATGTGTATCCCAGATGCCCCATAAGAAGGGCAGTTTTTAGTAGGCATGTTGACATTATTTGTACATAGTAAGAGAGTATAAAGGATCAGAAAAGCTTTGGCATTTACCTTGTTAAATTTTTATAGCTAAGCTCTGGTTCATGGGTCTACTTAAACGACTTAACTGCACTAAGAAAAATGGGAGCATTGAGACCAATGAAAAGAGTCCACAAAATTCTATGAAAATGAACCAATTCTAGCAGAAATCAGTACATTTAATGATCCAAGATACACAACTGGAACATTGACTAACTTTATTGACCTCAAGGAAATTTACACTTTTTCCTATAAGGACAAAAAAACCCAGGGACATACGCCTTTATTATATTATCAAAAATAGTTCTAATCCATTTAATTCAACTTCAGTTTTCTGAATGCTTATTATACACCAAGCATTGCAATGGCCAAGGGGGCACGCATGGCAGCTTACAAGGCATGGTTCCTGTCCAAGGTGCCCTCACCGTGAGTAGGAATGGGCATAAAGAAGGAGCAATCTTAATAAGATGATGTTATGCAGGATCAATTAGGACTCCTCTTGAAAAGTCGAGAATTCACATTGGATCCTTGCTGCCACCTCTCTGAGAAGCCAAGAAGGGTGCTTCTATGAGTCACCGCATTCCTCACTTGTTTCACTCATTTTTATAACCTGCCAGGCCCCTGAGGCATTTGTGTTTGCAAGAGGAACTGCAAAATTAAATGAACTCTAATACACTAGTCTGACTGATATTGGAGGTATCAGGACTAGAGGCAGATGCATTACTTAGGACATTCCTTTGCTAATCTAGACAAGTAGTAAGGTTGTGGTGGGAGACAGAGAAAATAGTTAGCATTCCTACGATGGCATGGCGGCTTAGGTGACCTATAATGAGGCAGCGGGAAGGGTCAAGGATGACATTTTAAGTGCCATGTTAATCAGCTTGAAATCGTGGTCTCAGTTTAGGATCTTCAAGAAAGAGACACCAAGAAGGAATTAGGCCCATGAGAAATTTTGGTGGAAACAGGAGGGATTGAGCCAGGGAGTAAGAGAAGGCATGGGGGGCTTGCAGATTGAAATGCACAGCTGAAACCTGTGCAAGGAGAGAGCAAAGGGGGGAGGCTTGGACAGGAAGCTCAGACTGCTGCGGAACTCTGCGAAAAGCCTCAGCCAGCATGACCAGAGCGTGAGATCCAAGAGCTGCTTATTTCAAACTTGTGTCACTTGAAAGGAAATGGATGGGCTTCAGTGCTCCCACCACGCTCCGTGTCCTGGGGTGATCTGTGCTGGGGAACTTGAAATTACAGGGGCTTGAGATTGTCCGCTAATTGCTCTTATAGCAAGTTCTCTCTTGAAAGGAGATCTGAACAGTTCACGCCCATAGCAAACACACGTGTCCATTATTAGAAACATTGGATTTAAGTAATGAGAGAAAAGAGTTAAAATGGTTGCTGGGAATAAGAAATGGGTGGAGTAAGCAAGAGACTGATGGTTCCTTCATCGTCTTTTAGAATTCGCTGCCTCTTACATATTACATACGTAAGTGGAAATCACTTGTGGCAGATGTTGCTATATAGATTCCAAAAACTTACATTTTCTATTTAGGCACAGTGCTTCTCCCACGTTCTCTTGCAGTTGAGTGCAGCAATAAGATTTCTGGTCGATAGAAAGAGAGAAGTGATGTGTGCCACTCATAAGCAGGGCTCACAGAATCTGCCAGACAACTCTCCCTTCAATTTTACTGTCTGAGAGAAAGATCTTAAGGCCTATGCCCTCCACAAGATGGAGAGAGTGTGGGATCTGAACCATTGCAAGCAAGGCCCCCTGGCAACTACTTTGCTTTATTCTATGTTTTTTGTTGTTGTTGTTGTTGTTTTTTAAATATATCTTTATTGATTTCAGAGAGAAGAAAGGAGAGGGAGAGAGAGATAGAAACATCAATGATGAGAGAGTCACTGATCGAGCCCGCAACCCGGGCATGTGCCCTGACCCGGAATCGAACCCCGATCGCCTGGATCCTAGGTCGACGCTCAACCGCTGAGCCACGCCCGGCTGGGCTGGTTTATTCTATGTTTAAAATTATGTTATTTTTTATTTTCAGCTGATGATATTTGGGATTTAACTATTACAGCAGTTAGTATTAACTTAAGAAAGGTGTCCCAAGGTGAAGATATATGTATAAATATATCACAAATAAAGATATGTAGATCTTTACATAACATCAGAGACACCTTTTACCTTTGAATTTTTTTTCTTTAGCTTCAAACTCACATCTCCAATACCTACTGGCTTATCACGGTTTGGCTAACACCATCAATTTAGCAAGTTCATACTGTTAAATTAACTTACTATTGTGTGCTCTACTAGTGGTGCCATCATCCCCACAAACACCCAGGACCTATATTTTATGGTTTTCTTTGATTCCTATGTTTTGAACAATTCTCATATCAAATCCCAAAGTTCTATGAATTCTCCTTTTTCATGTGTCTGTATCTGTTCCATTTTTCACAGTCTATGACCACCACCCCAGAGCAGTGATTTTCAACGTTTTCATCTCATGGCACATAAACAAATTACTAAAGTTCGGCAGCACACCAAAACATATATTTTTTGCCAAGCTGACAAAAAATAGGTATAATTTTGATTCACCCACACTGGGTGGCTATTGTTGTGTTGGCTCTTGTCACTTTTTTTTATTTGACAATCTAAGGGAAAGGAGGCCATTGCCCCTGACTAAATAGTTAGTTATTGCATTTTTAAAAAATCCTCATTTAGGTATGCTTATTGATTTTAGAGAGAGAGAGAGAGACATTGATGTAAGAGGAACATCAATCGGTTGCCTCCTGACGNTTTTTAAAAAATCCTCATTTAGGTATGCTTATTGATTTTAGAGAGAGAGAAAGAGAGAGAGAAACATTGATGTAAGAGGAACATCAATCGGTTGCCTCCTGACGGGGGTTGAACCAGCAGCCCAGGTACGTGCCCTGATGGGAATCGAACCCGCAGCCTTTGTGGAGAACAGGGTGATGCGTCAAGCCCCTGAGCCACCAGCCAGGGCAGGTATTGCATGTTTCAAAAGGTCCGTGGCACCCTTGATTCCATCTTCTACTGAAAAGGGTCATATGTAGTCACAGGATTACTACAAAGATTCAATGAGGTAACCTTTAAATGGTGACAGCAAAGCGCCTGCCTCATCACAGCGCTTTAATGTATCTTTCTTAAATGAATGTGTCCTTCTCCTTTACCTATTTCCCTTTGCTCAGCTAACCTGCTCACAGGTGACTCTGTCTTCCTGCCCACGTTCTCAAATGCCACTTCTCTTTCAGGGCAAGCTCATTCTGGTCTGTTTTGTGATCTCCCCTTATCTACTTCTACCTCTGTGGAAATCTTGATCACATATGTTATCTAGCCTTATATTGTGAGTTAGCTTTTTTGGTTTTCATGTACAATTATTTTCTTTAAGTAGATTGCAAATGATTAGGGACCTACTTTATACAAAGCATCAGGTGTTTCTTAGAGTGTTTTCTGAAATTGTGTTGTTTTTTTTTAAATTTTTATTTGTTGTTTTTTTTTTGGCCTGTTCAGAATTCCTTCCTTCTTCTTTTCATAAATGATATTATTACTTTCTTTTTGACATAACTCACTCCGACACCTCTAATCCCTTTAGATCAACGATTCCACATAATCACACCCATTATATCCAAGGGCATGACATGAGTCCCTCCTCACTAATGGAGAAAAAAGAAACAGAAGCACATTCTTCATGGCTTATATAAATTTCATTATTTTGCTGTTTAAATAAGCACAGATTTTAGTAGGATTTTAAAAAGCTTCAAAGACCACATCTGTATTTCAATCTGTAAAAAATATTTTCATTATGTTTATTATAAAAATATAAATGTTTCCACTACAAATCACTTTACATTAGTAAGAGGCCATCTACATTGTACAACATAAACTAAATGAGTAGCGTTTTGAAAATACAAGTTTAAAGTAAATACATATTGCCAATCATCACATTTATACATGGTTTTAATTGATAGTACAGAATAATCTGGGCAAGGTACCAGAAATAAATAATATATGTAAATCAAATTTACGATATAAAACAGATAATATGGTACATACCATTGTATGGAGATATGGTTCACGTTTATTGAAACTCAATGCAGTTCCTGTACAAAGAGATGGCCACAAGCATCTAGTACCTCTACTCCACAGTTAAGAATCGTACACTGTTATGTTTACATATATACAGGGTAAGAATTTTGTGTAAAGTAAATTTATAAGAGGCCAGGTAGAAAAATAGTGAAAAAACGAAGAGCAATATGCTGTGTATATAATCTCTACTTTCAAATGAAAACCATAGTCAAAATAATAATTCTCAACTTCTATTAGTTCATGAAATGCACAGATTTTGTAAAGTATGCTCAGAATACAAGATAAATGCTACTCTGGGATAAAACATGGTTGAAGCCAGGTTCAGATCTCAGTCTAACATTCCACAACACAAAATTTTGATTAAAAAATGGTTTAGCTGCTTCTAGCAGGCTTAAGTAAAATGTGTAATTTCATAATCACATATATTTTTAAAAAAATGCATGCTATTATATATCCAATATAGAATTCCAGTGGGATGATTGAACTATAAAGCATATTGCCAAATTTAAGAAATAATCTCATATTTGAAAGAACACTGCCTAAGCCTTATTACACTAAATTTACAACAGATTAGCACTTGTGAATTTTGATCTGATTGTAAGTTGTATAACGTTCCATTTTGCATAAAAACCTAAAGGTTGCAGCATTGTTTATCCATTCTCGTCTTATGGCATATGCATTTTTTATTCCCATAAAATGATCATATCAGCATTAGAGAGAATATAGGTAGAGCTAAAATGTTGCTTTTCAACGTATTAGTGGCAAGATCTACTCCAGGTACAGTTTTTCAAATATTACCGAGTATGCTCATATTTGACATTTATGAAATAGCCTATGTTCCCACAATGAGAGTTCTCTCCACTGCCTACAGATTTTGAATCATTTGCTAGATATCCATTTTACTTATTTCAAATATAAAACTATTTTGAAAATTATATGCTCAATAAATGCAAAGTAGTTGATTGCTTCTAATTTGTACACCAGAATTACAACAAGTGCATTTCAGTGGAAGACTCTTTAAGATAATAATACCTGCTATAGATTATTACAGTGTTTAATTAATTTAACTAAACCCCAGTGATTCAGATGAGTAGTTTAGTTATAACCATTCCCTAAAAACAGCTCAGCATTTTAAAGCAAAGATATTGAGTGACATTTTAGAACTTGTAAGAAAGTGATTTTTTTTACTCATGCATTGTCAAATAGGCCGTGTTGCCAATTAATGCAGCAATGGAAATAGGATTCCAATTATTTCCAGTGTAGCTATTCTCTGTTTAGGAACTCTCACATAGCTTCTTTACCAATGGAATTAATGGTTTCCGAAACACCAGAGTAGGGCAGGTATGCCATTTAGAATCCATTAGTACTTACAAGCCAGTATATCACACTAAATTAGGAGCATACAGTTTATTCTAAATGGAGAGACAAAAATGTATGAGATAATTCAGTCTGTGAGAGATCTGGTTAGTGAATGAACAGGGAAACAATTTGGTTTCTTCATATATATGTGTGTGTATATATATATATGTTTCAAAAATCTGGAAAGAAACCCATCATTCTCTATGTTTAGTTTACCATGTTTCCTATTGCTGACAATTTGAGGGAGCATTTGGCACATGGCTGTAACAAATCCAAATTAAATCATTGAGGCATAAATAGAAAACAATAAAAAACAATTAGAAAGAAAATAAATATGTACTTTTCTTCAAAATTAAGACACATTTTTACATGATAATACTTAAGGAAGCTAATAATTAAAAATGTGTGGTACTTAAAACAACTACAAACTTCATTTCTATATGCTTTTAACAGATAAAAGAGAATAATACAATGAAAAGTAGTAAATATGGCCAGATAAGTTGAGGTATAAGTTCCTCTGTTTTGCTTGCTTTTAAAGAAAAAAAATACCTGTTACAGATTTCTTCTGTGTATAAAAATATCACAAGTCTTTTCTTTTGTGGCCGTTATTGAACAGAGCCACTATGTTCATTTTGTTATTTTACTTGTTTTCCTGTTAGAATAGTCTGTATATGATCCATGGCTCTAGGCTAGTTCTTCATCATTTCTTGCTGAAGAATTTTAATTTAATCCATCAACTAATATAAAAAAAATCAATTGCAAAACAAAATACACCCACCCACCAATCCACTGAATGATATGGGAAAATAAAGAGTTTTTCAATTCCATTTTAAGGCATTTGTACTCATATATGAGTGTCTTATTGGGCTTGAAACTTCCACCAGTATCTCCAGCGTTGTCGTCTGTCTGCAGAGTGATGCTACATCTTCCACAGCCACACTTCGTTGGAGAAATAGCCCTTTACACTGGAACTGGACCGTTCTTTGATTGTGTTTCTAGAGCTTTAATGCTACTGATAATCTTCTTCTGTGGCCCAACCACAGTGACACCAACCTTTTTCATGTCACTGTAAAAAAGGGAGAAAATGTTTGGTGAGAATCATGGTTTCCTGGATAGTATGTAAGCCTGAGATTTTCAGTTAGCAAAGCTTGTACAATCATATATCCCAACGTTTTGAACCTAGTATTTTATTTTTTATCTTTGCATCATCCATGCATATTATCCTGGCCATTTCACCTCTATTTTGTGGAAAAATATAAGTGGTATAATGGGTTGAATAGTGCCCCTCAAAATTTCTGTCTACCCAAAACCCCAATAGGGTCTTTGCATATGCAATTAAGTCAAGGGCCAAGATGAGATCATACTGGATTAGGGTGGACTCTAAATCTAATGAAGCTGTTTTTATTAGAGACTGAAAAGGACACACAGTGACACAGAGAAGAGCTCTATGTATAGATGGAAGCAGACATTGGAGTAACTTTGCCACAAGCCAAGGAATGCCAGGACTTACCAGGAGCTGGAAGAGGTAAGAAAGGATTCACCCTTAGATACTTGTGGCCCTGCTAACACCTTGATTTCTCACTTCTGGACTCCAGAAATGTGAGGAAACAAATTTTGGTTATTTAAGCCAATCAGTTCTTGGTAATTTGTTATGACAACCCTAGGGAACTAATGCCGATGGCCACACATTCTTTGTGGGGCAGTTCCCTTGAATCTGGGCCATCTCCAGGACTGCATTGATTGACAGAGTATGTTCACAGTAACACTGTATCAGTTTCTGCACTCAGGTCTTCAGAAACTGCCAGATTCAACTTCTTGTCCCTTGAGACACCCTCTCCGGGCCTCAGACTGTCATATGTGAAGTCTGATTACCCCGAGACATGGGGGAGGCCATGTGTAAGCACTTAGTGTGCAGTTTCAGCTTTGTAGCCGTCTGCACCAGGGAGACAGGAATGAAGCCGTCTCGCCCTCCAGGCCAGACCAGATTCATGGTAGATGAACACTTCCTTCCATCAGCACTAACACTGCAGCAGAAGAATCACCTGCCTATCTGTCCAAATTCATCACCCATGAAATTGTGACACAATACAATTGCTTTAGCCTTTACGTTTTGAAGCAGTTTGTTGTCAGCCATAGATAACTAGAACAATTTCTTTAAATTCAAACAATAAACCTAAGGCTGATAAAAGAAGAATGAAATAGTTAAATATTTTATAGGAGTTGAGGTATAAATGTTGTCCCATTAGAATTCCCCAAATAATTAGTGTGTTAAATGTTTTTTTATAATTCTCATTTTTTGTACTATAAATTAGGGGCACAAGGTGCACCACACATAGGAGATCTAGGAAATAATGCTTTTCCAGGAATTTCAGGTCAATAGATCTTAATTCTATGTTGTCCCTGAATTGAGGAGAAAGGACAGAAGAAAGAACATTGTGGGGTTTGAAACAGAGAGAGATCTGAAACCACCTGGCTCAGTGTGAAGAACAAACCTGGAAGAGCAGAGTCCCTCTGGAGAAGTCAGCTTTCATCCTGAATGTGCATTCACAGATTGTTTAAATAATAATAATAATAATAACAATCAAGTGAAAATATTCTAACCAGCGACAAAGAGCTTACAGCCCAACACTGTATTGTTGAGACAAATATATTTCCCCACTGGGAATGTAACAAGTGCTGCCGCTTCACCTTTTTAAGCAAATAGCTTTGTCAGCATATTCAGAGCTTATAATGTCTGACCGCATGTAAATCGTGAGCTGGCAGTTAATTATATTACCAGTGTTCTGCCTCGTCCACTTCAGTACCGTGCTTCATTATCTAAAAGCTATGAGTGTTGATATTTTATTGAGAATAAACATTTGTATAACTCTGCCTCTGAAAATTTGGCAATAGTGTGGAAACGTTCAACTCTGTTTGTTCTCTCCTGTGTCCCTGTGCTCTGAAGCAGGTGTCTGGAATATCATAACCCCAACTGTTTATATTACTAAAATAAGAATTTATAAAAATATTTAAAGATGCTACTATGTCCTGGGATTTTGTCTGATCAAAATAACTACTATAGAAACTCAAAGCATGTTGTCGATTGGGTCAGAAGGCTATTTAATAAACAGTGTGTTTCCTTTAAACAGGAATGCTAGCACAGGAAATGGACTAGAGTGAGCTTATTGCTTAAGAACAATTTTCCTTTTCAATAGTAATATACCAGGTCCTTTTGTGACCTGTTGTGTTTCTGGTTGGAATATTACACCATGAATGGTAAACTTCTTTACAGATTTACTAGGCACTTATATCTCCATTAATTACTCTGCACATTCCCTTTTGATAGATTACCCACATTCACTTTATTGAAATGATCGGCAGGATGACAATGAAAGTCTAAATATTCAGCAACATTTAAATATTCAAATATTGGTAGGAGAGGTTAACACTTGAAAGGAATTTGAGGGCAATAAAATCTTTGTTTTAAGAAACAAAGATGAAAGATAGAAGACTCTGAAAATGGACATAGTTTGCAAACAAATTATAGAAACTACAAAACTTTGTACGAGTTTTGGTGTATCTACCCAATACAAAACCTCTTTATTTTGGGACAGTTCTCTATTTTACTCTCAGGAAAGGGCCCCTAGAGTCAAGTTCACGTTATCTTATTACACCTCTTTTGACAAAAATAATTATATAATAGGAAACATATGACTTCGAAGGTGTCATCTATGAGCAGGACTGAGCTTATCAGAATTTTCTCCAGAGGACTTAGAATTCAGAGTTGGGCCCTCATCAGTTGAGTAGCGCACCAAGCTTGTATGACCTAGGGCTGAGAAAGCCATTTTTAGCTACGTTCATGGGAGTGCAGGAAAATTCATTGTGCAGAAAAGAAAACAATGATGCAGGTTACATTAGGAAGTGAAGTAAATTGGCTCATTCACAGAGAGAGGAAGAATATGGTCCCTGTTTCTTCACTGCCAGTTCCCAATGACCATATCTTGTGAATGAACATGACTGTTATGGGTTAGTCACTGCATTCACTTGACAAACCCCCCTTCCTTAAGCCCATGCGTTTCTCATGTCGAAGGATTCCTATTATCCTAAGATCCTTGTCTAAGAAATACAGGATATTATATTTAATTATTATTGGCTTTTGTTAATTATTAAACCATATTAATAATTCTTATTCTGTCTTTCGAAACCGAATATAAGTCTTTTAAGGAAAACAATAAAGTAATACTTTAAACCTAATTGTAACTTCATTTTCAAGTATGATAACTTCCATAGACTCAATACTAGATAATGTTTATTTAGTAACCGTGAAACTAATAGCATGTTTCCCTCTATACCAGCTTATCCACTTAGTTCTTGATTTTCTTTTTCCATAGGTTTTGTGAAAAGTAACAGAAGATCACAAAGGCAGGCATGTGGGAATCATCACGCTGTATCTGCTTATGTGTTCAGTCAGGGGCTTGGGTCTGTGGAGTTGGGTACAGATATTGTCTGTGGGTCTATCGGAAGGAGGTCATAGTTCAGTGAAGGAAGAAGATGGATCAACACAGATAAATCCAAAATGTGTCATTTACAAAGAGAGACCCAGGATCTAGCTCAGGGGTCACAGGAGACAGTAAGTACCTCAGAGGTTCAGCTAATATTTATAACACATTAATCCAAAACATGTATGTTCAATAAAAAGTTTAGAATCATTCAGTCTTCTTAAAAACTTGTTCTTACTCTGTGGAAATCTTGGCTATGGTGTCACAGGAACTGTATTCCACGCCTGTGAAGATTTCTTTGCACTGCGCTGTCCGGACACCGTTAAGCCAGTCACCCGCTGTGCGGAAAGTAGTGATGTCGACGTTGCTTTGGTCCAGAAGAAGGTTTGATGGCCTGTGAGAAAAGAAAATCCCGAAGGGAGAGAGATCAGGAGTCAGCACAGTTGCTGGATGTCAAGATTTGACAACTTGTTAAATGACTGAAACTTGGCCAGTGAAATGCATAAATATATCCACATATACTTTCATAATTTAACTGTTTAACCATTAGCAAAGATGGTCTTAATTTAGGCTACAATTATTAAAAACATGACACACTGAGTAAGTTACTGTCTACTTTAGTGATGGATTTCATTTCCCATATTAAATCCTGTCCATTGTTCAGGTTACTGTCTAAAAAACAGTTTGAACTACCTAAACTATACTTACAGCAGGGCATAAAGTTCAGCACAGATTTAAATAATGTCACTAAAAATAAAAATAACAAAAAGAGTGGAAAAGAAAGTGATGAGTAGCAAGTGAAATCATTGCGTATGTGACAACACCAAAAGGAGTTTATTGTATATATGATATGGTGGCTACCAAAGTGATGGGGTGGTGGTGCAGAAGAGGTAGAACAGGGGAAAGAAGGTCAAATATATGGTGATGGAAGGAGTCTTAACATTAGGTAGTGAACAGGCAATGCAATATACAGATGAAGTATTATAGAATTGTACACTTGAAATCTATATAATCTTATTAATCAATGTCACACCAATAAATTAATAAAATTAAGAAGAGAGAGAAATTTATTGTTACTGTGATTTATATAGCACAATATAATCAGCATTAAGAAGAACTTTTAGCATTGTTTTATATAATAACAGGCCTAACCAATGATCTATTACCAACTGTAATATGGTGAATCAAAGGAACATAAAAGAAATGGAAGAGATCATGTTTTCATCCCCGAAGAGCCCAAAGGAGCAGCTTGCTGGTGAACTGCCTTTGGGGTATGTTTTTCAGCTCTCAGCAACCTCTGTATTCTCCTGTAACTCATGAGGCTGGGACTAGTTATCAGGTGGGCAATTGTCCTATTATTTTCTCTTAAAAAAGTCCCTGGGTTCAAATAGTCCATAATGTTTATTTACACTTTTAGTTTACAGGATTAATATGTGAAAATTACTATCATGGTTTTTTGGTCCAATAATTTTGTTGTGGTTGTATTGCCAATTACCTTTCTTACCTCAGTAGCTTAGCTGGTAATGGGTCATAGGGTTAGTTAGGTACATGGGTCAGGGTTTGAATAATGCCAGAGAGCAGGATTTACATTAACTATGTTTATCAAAGACGTGTCCTTCTTAGAGAAACGCAGAGGACAAGTTGAGTATGGATCTCTTGATTAATATGTCAGCAAGTTTCTAGGATTTAAAAAAAAAAAATCTATCTTTATTGATTTCAGAGAGAGGAAAGGAAAGGGAGAGAGATAGAAACATCAACGATGAGAGAGTCATTGATCGGCTGCCACCTGGACTCTCCCGACTGGGGATTGAACCCGCAACCCGGGCATGTGCCCTGACCAGGAATTGAACCCCGATCACCTGGATCCTAGGTCGACGTTCAACAGCTGAGCCACGCCCGGCCGGGCTCTAGGATCTTTTTGATGGGGACCAAATGTCTCCATGGCCATTTTGGACAGGATCATTGTCTTGCAGCGTGATAACATAATCTGTATCTTATACTTGAGAGGGGACATTTAGGTTTTCGCCTCTTCTGAGTTATCATGCTGAATCTTTTATATTCTGTGATACTGCAGTTGAATTTAATCAGCATTGAGCTCTTGAGACTTATAAAAATTATTATTTTAAGTTACTGAATATTAGGGTTTTTTACAAACTAGAACTTTACATTTTCATACATATTGAAAATTAATAACTGGCTTAAATGAAATGTTCTTAAATTTAACATTTAGAATTAATTTTCAGAAGACACCAAATCAAATGAAAACTATGTGGACATGAATTTATCATTAGTTTAGAAACAAATTCACTTTTTAAGTTACCAATTTCAATATTTTTAGAAATAGCACGGAATAACATCCAACGACCTTTCCAGACACAATTAAACTGTATACTGTTTTACCCATGAATACCAAACCTTGGTCATCACCTAGGCTATGTGGCGAAAGCTTATGTTCTCCCTAGAAAATCTCTCTGTGAGACAAATCCACATATATGCTAATTCTACCCATATTTAAAAGGAATTTATTATTATTATTATTTTATTATTATTATTATTATATTTTTGTTNAGAAACATCAACGATGAGAGAGTCATTGATCGGCTGCCACCTGGACTCTCCCGACTGGGGATTGAACCCGCAACCCGGGCATGTGCCCTGACCAGGAATTGAACCCCGATCACCTGGATCCTAGGTCGACGTTCAACAGCTGAGCCACGCCCGGCCGGGCTCTAGGATCTTTTTGATGGGGACCAAATGTCTCCATGGCCATTTTGGACAGGATCATTGTCTTGCAGCGTGATAACATAATCTGTATCTTATACTTGAGAGGGGACATTTAGGTTTTCGCCTCTTCTGAGTTATCATGCTGAATCTTTTATATTCTGTGATACTGCAGTTGAATTTAATCAGCATTGAGCTCTTGAGACTTATAAAAATTATTATTTTAAGTTACTGAATATTAGGGTTTTTTACAAACTAGAACTTTACATTTTCATACATATTGAAAATTAATAACTGGCTTAAATGAAATGTTCTTAAATTTAACATTTAGAATTAATTTTCAGAAGACACCAAATCAAATGAAAACTATGTGGACATGAATTTATCATTAGTTTAGAAACAAATTCACTTTTTAAGTTACCAATTTCAATATTTTTAGAAATAGCACGGAATAACATCCAACGACCTTTCCAGACACAATTAAACTGTATACTGTTTTACCCATGAATACCAAACCTTGGTCATCACCTAGGCTATGTGGCGAAAGCTTATGTTCTCCCTAGAAAATCTCTCTGTGAGACAAATCCACATATATGCTAATTCTACCCATATTTAAAAGGAATTTATTATTATTATTTTATTATTATTATTATTATTATATTTTTGTTTAAAATATTACAGATGTCTCTTTTCTCCCCAATGACCCATTCCACCCAGTTCCTTCCCCCTCCCCAGTCCCTCTCCCCACCATTGTCCGTGTCCTTGGGTTGTGCATATATGCATATAAATTCCTTGGTTACTCTCTCCCCCTCCACCCACCCGCCCTCCTCCATCCCTCTGACATTCGTCAGTCCATGCTTCCATGCTTCCATGTCATTGAATCTATTCTGTTCATCAGTTTATTAAGTTCTTTAGACTCCACGTATAAGCGAGATCATGTGATGCTTGTCATAAAAGGAATTTTTAATTGGGCACTTTCTGTTACTATGATGACATTTCTTCAACTCACTCCCTGATATACGAGAGACATGCATAAGTGTAAGGCCAAGATTTTTAAACCTCAGTAATTTTCTATCATACTCTAGACTTAGATTCTGTTGTTGGAGACACATTAGAGGAGTGCAAATTGATTTTGATTTAGTTGGAGATACATAAACCTATTTGATAAATATGGTCAAATTTTAATGAAATTGTAATGCTGAGTTTAAGAAAAAAAAATGCAGTGTGACAATTTGGTTCATCCTCTGTGGAAAATACAGATCAATAACTGGTTCCCTCCCTGGCATAATCATTTGTGAAGTGGAGCACAGCTGAAAGTAGAAGACTTCTCAACTTTCTTTCCCTTAGTCGAACCTCAACTACTTCAATCCTCCCTTCTTCAAGCATTTTAATTATACATTAAAATGTAAAATTATGGAGTTTATAGTTTATGGTTATGTGTTATGGTTTAGTTTTAACTAATCCTCATTAATTTTCTTTCCTTTAAGAATTTAAAATCTATAAAATATAACATTTTATAAATTATTCTCTTAAAGAACATATATATATAATTTTCTATGATCCTTTAAGTTAAATTGAATAAATTCAATGTAATTAATAAATTAATAAATTAAACCAATAAAGAAAAAAAAACAGTTTATTTTAATAATTGAAAATCTCTTGTTTTTGTTTTTTCTAAAAATTTGAGGAACCCAGGTTCTAAAACTTACATAATATTCTTGGCTTGTTTTAGCAAGGGTGAAACAGTCTTTGTCACTAGCCAGAAGTAGATATAACATTGGATCCATTGGAAAAGTCACTGAATCAGTAAACAAAATTGATAGAAATAATACTAAATCCTATGTGAGAAAATTTTATAAGAAAACTGAAATGAGACTTAGAAAGGAGACAACAATATATTCAAATATCTATAGGCACACACACATACACACACACCCCACAGCTTGGATTTCCACAGTAGCTGCACATAGACTCTAAAATCAACTGTTGTCGATTCTTACTCTCATGAATAGCAATACTTTTTTATTTATGGCTTTGTGGGTATAAAGAATCAAACCCCAGGACATTTATTCAGAATATTTATGAAGCGTGCCTAATAGCAAAATATAAAATTTTTTTCTTCTCAATTCAAAGTGGTTTGTATTTTTAAATTCAACACTAGAGCCAGACTCAACAAGAGTTTAGAGAAAATTAGTATAAACAGATTGAAATAGAACAGGACGTGTGGATTAGGGATTAGAGTGACCCCAACCGAGTTTTTCTGTTTATTACTTGGATCAAAGTACAAGGAACACAAAGAATGACCTAATTTTAATGCCAGTGACCTCAGACTAACCAGCCCTGCAAAGTATCATTTTTCCACTTCCAGGATTTCTCTGGGGAATTCAAATAAAATTGGTTCCTTTCCTCCTCCGAGAGGACATCTGGAGAGTTTATCAATGGATAGGAATTTGTCTCTCACTGTGAAGAGCCTGTGATGTCTCTTCATGCTCACCAAGGGAATGTGGGCTTTTTGAGCAGCTGCAGGCATTGGCGTTTTTTTAGACCCAGCCCCAGACATTGGGTCTGAAGGGGAAATTTATAGGCTGGGTGATGTGCACTGTGAGCTCACACTTTTACTAGACAAATTAGATAGGTTTCAATCCGTGCAGCTGTAAACGATGTCCTGCAGAG